AGGCAAGCAAACCAGTGTGCCCAGTGCAGCTGCTCAGTAAGTAACAGAGTCTGACAGTGCCCTGCTCTGTCTGTGCTCCAGTTCTCCTTTCTAGAAGACATGAGACTGAAATATAAGCAATACACAGCAAAGGCTGAGAGTCAAGAATTAATGCTGAAACTCCTGAGAGTGCTCAGAGCCCGTGTGCAGCACCTGGTAAATGACAGGTGACCTCTTACACTCGGTGCACAAAGCACACAAACATCTGCTCTAAGTGAGCTCACAGTGTAGAGGCAGCAGGTAAAATACTGCTGCTTGGCGTATAGAGAATATTTCACTTCAACCTGACTGGAAATTATAGCACTAAGCCAATGACTGATTTCATTTGGACTGAGCTGATAAGTAAAGAGCCCCAAGGCTGGGAGCGGACAGTCTGAGCTGGCACTGGGCCACAGAGCCATTCCTGACATGTCACCAGTTCTAACCCAGTATATTTGAGCACTCACCCAGTGACTCTTCAGAGCCACTGTCTGAACCATGACATCCCTACCAATCCAAACAGCTCTTCAGTATCAACTATTGGCAACTCTGTACCTCCTCTTATCAAATCATCGTCATAATCTTCATTAACTAAGAATTTAACAGGCCAAATGCTGATCAGACTGCTCAGACTTTTCACTGGTCTAATATTCTGCTTTTGCATAGAGTGGCATTTATATAAACAAGGATTTAAGCATGTCCATAAAAAAATGAATATACAGAAAAACCAATGACTCCTTCTAAACTCCCCTTGTGTTTTACTGGCAGGAAGGCAACGTGTACTGTGGGCTGAAGACTTGTCCCAAATTAACTTGCTCTTTCCCGGTGTCTGTTCCAGAGTCCTGCTGTCCAGTTTGCAGAGGTGAGTTCAAGGGCAGGCTCTGAATTTACTCCTTTCCCTGTCTGTGCACCAGTGCTGTCACTCAGGACACTATCTGTGAGTTTCCCAGGTAATTACAAACCAATGCGTGTTGGGAAATTAAACCACAAGTGCCAGCAGGGTAACGTGGCTCCCTTTGTTTTCCTAAATTGAAACAAGGACAGAACTGATCATAAAGTTGCATCCCCATAATGAGGTAAATCAAGTAGCATGAGGATTTCTGTGCAGGGCTGCTTTGCACACAGATTGCCCCTCAGTCTTCACTGCTTTGCTGTGTTACTTCAGTGTCTTTACAAATCCTGAAATGTTTTGCCAGGCAAACTGCTTGGAAAGCTTTCTGTTCTCGATCAGGCAAGGTGATAGTCCTGGCTTCCCAGGGTGAAGTACAGTGATACACTGTTTTAAATGTAATACTTTGACAGGTAATTAAAGTAAATCATTGTTAATCATCTGATTTCTCTTCCCATATAGTTATTTGAGCTGTATTTGAAACCAGACTCTTCCATTTACAAAAATCAATTTGACTTTCAAAGTACAAGCTGTCAGACACAGCTATACAGTAAATCAGCCTTCTGCTGGAGAAATCAGACACTTCAGCCAGAGTCACTAATGAGAAACCAGTCCATTTGCATTTCCATATGAAGGGTGAGATTAAATCAGATTATGCAGTAGAGGCGACCCACTGTCTCCACTGATGCAGGGCTTATTTAATGTATTCCTCTGTCTACTACTCTTCTTTTAAAATTTTTAAAAGATTATTTATCTCATAATCAACTTTGTCCTTTTCAATATGACATAAGCTGTTTTATCTCTGTGATTCTTACAAAATGAAAAGCTAAACAAAATGTTTGCATCAAGATCTAACACAGCTCATGGGGAGGAAACTGTGACTCAGTTTTCCCTGCATGGCCAAATAGATTAACATATTAAAGCTTGCTGATTATCATATTAATTCCTCTACTACGATTTAGATCCTAAATACAGCTGTAGAGCTGGGTGAGACTTTTCCCCTATGTACTTCCCAAGGGGTTTCACAGTTGCTCCTCTGACTGACACTGCTCTGCTTCACATACAGGAGATGGAGAATTATCATGGGAACATTCTGATGGAGACATCTTCAGGCAGCCAGCCAACAGGGAAGCTGTAAGTGGGACCTACAATTTAAAGATGTATTTTCTTGCTGTGCTGTGCACTGGGGGAAAAAGAATAAAGGATGATAACAGGTCTGAATACCTATTGTTTCATCCTGGGTTCTATGAATCTAGCCCAAAATAAGTTTCTTCCACTCAGCCTGAATTCACGAATAATGTTGAATTATAAACTCCCATGAGCTCCTGTGGACCCTGGATTTGGTCTTTGTTGTATATGCTCTATAAGAATAAAATTCAACAGCATTTTGTTTGCTGTTCAAGCATCGTTTTTATATCATAATTGCAAACACTTGCTCCCCAGTTCACAAACATATACATGTATTTACTCTAGGGGCTTCACTATCTGTGGGGCTAAGAGTTTCCATTAACAACTTCCTCCTCAAGAAATAATTCTTATAACAGCATTTGGAGAGAATCTGAAGACCATTGGAGCCTTATGTGCAGTACCCAAACAAGTGAACCAACAGGTCTTTAGATGGGTGGGGAGAATCATGCCTTATGAAATGAGTGCTATAATCTACACTGTTCCTCCAGGTCCATGGTCATTCTGAAAAATGATTCTCTGAAAACAGTGGTTTTGCTCTAGAAAGCATGCTGTGCACTACTACTACTACTACTACTACTACTAGTGCTACTGCTGCTACTACTGCTGCTTTCCCTTGCAAACGAAATGAGACTTCCCAGCCTGTAAAACAAACTCTGCTCAGTCTGTGCAAGGCTAACGTGGGCCCTGTGGGAGAGTTTCAAGCTGCAAGCAAAGAAGCAGCTGGGCAGTCATTCTGGATGTGTTCTGCCACTGGAGCCACAGTAGAAAGCAATTTTTATGAAGAAAACTAGACAAGCTTAAAAGTCTTCTCATCTGCTCCTAAAGTAGAGTAGAAATCAATAAAGTAGATATCTAGCTCTGAACACCATTTTTAATAAATGGAGCAAAATAGGCACATCTGGGTCGTGTTTCTTCTCATGCTCTAGAGATCCACACCAGGTCAGGTTCTAAAACTGCCCCTCTGTCTATTGACAATTCGGGACTTTGAATGACTAACTGAGATAAAGACACCTACACTGACATCCAAGACTGGTGAGATGAGTTACAGCTGCATGTGGTGCACGATGTCTGATAGGAGAGGCCACACTCTTGTTGCCTGTGTTAAGTTTCTGGTACATCACCTTTCCCCGTGTTCATTGGAACGAGACATTTACTTCCCTGCTCTCCTTCTGTCCCCAACAGAGACACTCGTACCATCGCTCCCACTACGACCTGTCACCCGGCTCTGCGAGGCAGGCAGTCAATATTCCACGATTTCCCAGTGCCAGGAGTAACCGTGGGGTCCTGCCAGATCCCCAGCAAGCCTCGGGCACAATAGTACAAATCGTCATCAACAACAAGCACAAGCACGGACGAGGTAAAGACAAGCACTTCTTACAGTGTCACTCTGGGTCAGGAATCAATCACCTACAGCTCAGAAAGACTTCTAAAAATATACAGCAGGATCTTGGAAATTCACATTGGTATCAGGAAACCCAGAGCAAAGCAGGGAGGCAGAAAGCAATCAGGATACAAAATTCTTTCTTGACCAAGATCAATTCTGCCTGCACAGGGCAGGTCACTCTGCAAAGGCACCACACGACTGTGTTGCTCTCTGACTTACTTTGTGGGATTGGGCTGCGCAATCCTGAGAACTCAGGCAGTGTTTACCAGGGGAGTGCTTTGTGCCACAGAGGACACCATGATGCCTTTAGATTCAACTTGTTCACACAGTGACTTGTCCCATAGGAAATTGTTCACAGTTATTTTCTTCACGCTCTCTCCTATTTTGTAACTTTACTGGCCGTAAACAGCTTATATTTAAACTGCCCTACAAATCTCAGACCAGAACGTATCAGGGGTTTTTCTGCCTCCAAGGCTTAGCAAATCATTCTAATGAAAGATAGTATCATGTCTTCCCTCACCTTAAACTAGTTGTCTGAGACAGTGGGATGGAAGGGATGCTTTTCCTCCCCATGACTAATATTAAGAGGCAGAGTAGGCAATTAGCCTGTACTGGATGCCCGAAGTGTAAAAAGGCAAACTTAACCAAGGTAATGAATCTCACTCTAAGAATCCTTTAGTGCCTCCTGCCAATAGAATATAGGACACACTATATTATGTGGACAGCAGAATTCTGAGCCCATATGGGAAACCATATTCAAGCCATCTTCCTCATGCACTAGAGGAAGGAAAAAAAAAAAGGGGAAATACCAATTCACCAGTTAGTGGGACAGTAGGTTTTGTACAATAAAAAGGGTGGGAGGCTCAGTTCCCACAGTGGGTGTACCTTGGAGAACAGAGGTCTGCAGGAACAGGCCGAGGAAGACGTAAAAGAAATAACTGTACAAACACATGCTCAAAAGAGCATCTATCCACAAATACCAGTCAGTATTCACTTTGAAACTACCCACAAAGAGTTAAAAGCCCTTGTATCAGGGCCAACTAATCTTTTAAGGTATTAACTAACAGAAGGAATGTTGGCTATAGGATCTTTATTATCCACCTGAACAAGCATGAAAAAACATTCAGATCATGCCAGTGTTTTCTGCTGAATCTAGGAGCAGGAATCTCCATGCAGTGCAATGTCTTTGACATGTAATTCACACATGAAGACATCATCAAAGCGGTTTCTAACTGACTTGCTTCTGCAAATAAAGAGCCTACAGACGAACAGCACAGTTCTGGATGCAGGATAATTTCAGACACTCACTGCCTGGAGAGTGTCTGAGAGATCCCCCCGATGGAAACAGGAATGCTGACCATGGGTTTTCTTTTGTTCCTGTGCAATTAACGAGTGTTCTATTAATTAATGCACATGCCCCTTGAGATGCATTTCAACAGGTTAAAAAATAAACACCCAGCAACTCTCCTGGCATGGAAATACTGTGTGTACAGATTCATCACTCTGAACATGAAGAGCACTAGAGACAGGGTATCAGGGAACTAGGAGTTATTTGCTGTATTTTGGCTTCTACTAGAGGCTTCATCTGCTTCCTAAGAGTAATTATTTAGCTGTTCTGTGCTAAACAACCCTTAAAAACCAGAAAATATGTATCCACACAATGTCCTGTATTATCCCTTCCCCATAAGGGAGAATTCACAAAGTATTTATGTCGATAAAGGATCTGGAGAACTCTGGTTGGGGGGAAAAAAATCCCTGTAAGCATAGATATAACTAATAATATGATATTTCAGCATGTAAGCAGCCTGCTGAGCAGCTGAGTGTTTACCAGTTTTCTCATTTACAGTTTTTTCTCCCATGTTCTTGGTATACAGATAAAACATGGCTTTTTATTTGAGAAACAAAACTGTTTCCTACCTCTCAAATAAAACCATGCCTTAAGAAAGAGTTAAAAAGTAGCAAGTTAGAAACCAAATGATAGCATAACCCCATGAAAGACAATACATTGCAAAAAACACTCCCCATAAATCTCAGTAACTCAGTGAAGTATAAGCCAGTTGGTTACATCTGTTACCAGTTAGATATAAATTTCAGATTACAGATAAAAATTAAATTGCTTTTGAAAGTTACAGGCAAAATTGGAACATATTTTACAAATAAAAACATTAATAAAAATGATGGCATATTAGAAGAATTGGAAATATTTACAACATATCCAAGCTTCACTTCAGTTGCTTTTAGAAATCAGGCTGTGTCCTTTATTTCACCTTGTTAGGATTAGTTTGCATTTTTCTTTGTGTTTATAAAATATTTAAAAATAAAGAAGTAGGGTTTATAGGACAAATGCAAACATGGTGTAAAGTGATATAACTCCCATCAACTGCTGGGTGACCCAAAGTGGCTTCTACCAGGCATGGATTTTTCCACTCTCCTTGTGTCAGCTGTATTTCTCTGACTCCCAGGGGCTCTGATGAATAAATATTCTGAGGCTCTGAGATGCTATTGGAATGAAATTTCAGTCCCATATGCATCCTTTCACGTTAATGTTTTCTTGTGATTCCAAAAGCCAAATGGCTCTCTATACCTATAGACATATACATTTCCACAGAGGACATTAAACCTCATTTTGCAACATTCCCTTGCTTTGTTCTGCATGTTATGGAGCAGAACTCTCATGCAAAAACAATAAAAGGCCCAGGTGGCACTAATCCATCCTGCTGATGGCATGGCTCTCTTCAGCTTATGGCTGAAGCTGTGCAGATGACTCGGTAGCAAATAACATGATTCTGTCATCTGCAAATTCAATTCCAGCAGCCAGAGCCACTGTAGCAGGCTGTGTCCTGTGTGTGGACTGAGATTAGGAGGGGAAGGAGGAGTGAGTTTTATGAGCTGGTTAATGGTGCACAACTGTTTTCCTCAAAACAGCAATGGACATCAGTCAGCAGAGTTGGAACCAAGGCAGAACTGCTCAGAAAAGGGTGAACAAGGGCTCAGGCTCACTTTAAGTGACAAGTTAAAATTACCAAGCAGAGAAATGGGCCAGAGAGACACAAACAGATGACATATGGAGACACTGCTTTAAACAAAGGTGCACGAATCAAACAAATGTGTATGGAGAGGCAGCCAGTGAACGTACCTTTTCCAGTTGTACTTCTCCTCCTTTTTGTTTTCTTTTGTAGTTTGTGTTTCAAATGGCAAAACATACTCGCACGGTGAATCTTGGCATCCCAACCTCCGGGCCTTCGGAATCGTAGAGTGTGTGTTGTGCACCTGCAACATCACCAAACAAGAATGTAAGAAAATTCACTGTCCAGAACAATATCCCTGCAAATACCCTCAGAAAGTAGAAGGAAAATGCTGTAAAGTCTGTCCAGGTAAAACAAAGTTGATCACAGACCACCTTTTTGCTGTGCATGTTGAGGGGCTTGGCTCAAGCCTTCCAGTCACAATAACCTTGATACAAACAGCAGGAGCTGTGCCCGTTCTAAGGTGTGTGAGAGGGCTCAGTGGGGCAGAGCTGCTCCTCAAACAGGGGCCATGCTGCCTGGCACATGTGTTCTGATCACTCACTGCCTTCCCCTCTGCTGTCAGCACGACTTCCTAATGCTTCTTTCCAAGAGAGTGTTACAGAAATGTATACAGAAAGTTCATTACTGTCATAAGATTCCTGTCCTGCCCCCACCACAAAACTTTCAAATCATTTTATAGCTTGTGAAATCTGTGTGGAGGTAACATCATTTCTGCTTTTTAAAATGTACCAGAAGGATTCAAAACTCTGGTTGGTGTCAGTTACATAACTTAATCCATAAAATAAATACTAGCTTATCACAGATTTAGCATTGTGTCTATGCTGCACTAATGATAAAACTTATGCAGACATTACTAAAATAAATGCCTACAGCTAGTGAAAAATCTGCTAACAGGGATCTGCTGATGGTCTGGCAAATGACCAGCCATGGTGCATGTGACACAAAGGGTAAAGGAGCGTCCAGTTTCCTCATGTGCCTTCAAACTTCTTCCCTAACCTGTACAGCCCATTTCTGTGTTTGTTTGCTGATGCATTGGGCAGAAATGCTCAGCCATATACAGAAACCTTCATAGAATGCACAATTCTCATCTTCTGCTAGCCTTGCTTACTGGGGAAAAAAGCAGGGGCAGTAGGCAGGCAGGAGGTGTGTTATCTAGAGCTTTTGGATACTTGTGGAGCAGAGATCCACAGCTTTCAGTGGAAGAACAGTCAGCAAAACCTGGCTAACAGGCTTCGATTGAAAATTTAATGTCTGGGGCTTAGCTGGAGATGGATTTGAGTGGCCATACAAATGAGAATTCTACTTTTAAGCTAAACTCGCTTGGCTATTGGTGCCAAGTAAGTTCTGGAGGACTTGATTACAGCTGTAGTATGCGTTTTGGGCTTTTTTTGTTGTTGTTTTTAACAGAAGATGTGCCAAGTCAAACCTTTGACAACAAAGATTACTTCTGTGGGAAAGAGACATTTCCTGTTTATGAATCCGTTTTCACAGAAGAAGGAGAAACCATCAGGAAAATTGCAATAGAGACTGAAAAGCCACCTCAGATAGAAATACATGTGTGGACAATTAGAAAAGGTGAGTTGAGCAAGTTTTTTCTTTAAACAGTGTATAATCTGCCATTAAAATCCCAGGATAGTTTACAGATCCAAAGATTTGGAGACTGCTGTTCTTCTGGCTCTTTAGGATATCACTGTTACAGCCACTTCCAACACAGACAAGTTTTGCTGAATAAAACCCATTAGGAACACACAAAGCTGTAGTTCTGCAAACTCCTGCCCTTCACTGGGAGCAAAGGCACAATGACAAACAGGTTGTCAGCAATGCTCTGTGTAATTTACTTCACAGAAATGGGTTTGAACCAAGTGCCTGCAGGCTCTTATTTAGGATGGGCCAAAAAGCTTTCCACTGAAATCAGTCTGGTCTATTTGCCTTAGTGCTGCTGCATCCATGATGGTCTAGAATATGGGCAAAAAAATGTATTAAGGATGAAAACAATATCTTTTACTAGACTAACTGGTAAAATTAGAACAAAACAGAAAAGCATCAAGAAGCACGGGTGCAAATCATGAACTTACAGTGTAATAAAAGTTATCTTCAGCCTCCTAAAAATCCAATCTACTTAATCTATTTTAAGTAAAAAGCATATGACCCTCACAGGAAACCCTCACACAGTGCAGTGTACCTGGAAATGACAGATCTCTAGAATGTGCTGTAAAGCAGAAAGCCAAGGCCGAAGTGGGAGCAGAAAAGAAGTCCCAGAGCACTGGATGGTTCACACGTACCATGGGTGTTCAAGAAGCCACAAAGCCTCATCATGATTTGACAGTGGTGGTGTGTGCTGGCTCATGGCAGGCAAAATGGTATCTGCAAAATGATCCTGTTTTTCTCCAAGACACTGGGATTTTTGGCTTCTCTTGTAGTCTTACATTTCCAATTTACATAATAAGGAAAGATTCAGCTGTTTTGGAAAAGAACTGGCTAATTCTCATACCCCTCACAATCCATGGAAAAATTTACAGGGGATTAGCAAAAAAAATGGGTGGGGGAGGGTGGAAAACAGAATAAAGAAAATGAATAGGTTGAAAATTTTACAAAAAAGCAGATTTAGAGCAACAGGCACATTTGCAGTAACACACATTTCTCATTTCTTTGCTGAAGGGATTCTGCGTCACTTCTATGTTGAAAAAGTGTCCAAAAGAGAATTTGAAGAACTTCCTTACTTCAAGCTGATAACAAGGACAACCCTTAGTAAGTAAAATTCTGACCTCTTGAGGTTTCTACTCTCCATATTATCATAGATGGGAAAACATTCTCTTTTACTCAACACAGTCAAATGGATGTATTAACTTTTCCTCCTCCATTTCTTTTTTGTATTTCATCAAGTTTGGGATTTTGATAGCAGTGAACAACTACTAATTCAGCCGATTTGATGGTTGAACTAAGATAGAGATATTCTTAATTGCTAGCTCTTTTGCATTACAACTTGTCATTTTTTCTACATTTTTTTCTAAATAAGTAAAGAAGTCTTTTTCCCAGGAATAATATACTCTTAATAAGACAGGCCTATTGAGATACAGTAATCTTTTCCATAGAAAAAGTTCCCTAATTTTTTGCTCTCAGTCTTGCTTAGCTTGCCATTGTTATCTGTAATGCAGTAGTCTAGTTATCAGGACAGCATGCATTTATACTAACATATCAAAAATGTTAATTACAGACAGAGTTCATAGCACATAAACACTTTGACGTGTTGCTTCCCACTTCTAAATACTTTGGTTTGCCAGGATATCCTGTGTCATAAGTGGTTGAATAAATAGAGCCAACTTACAGGACTAGTTGATTAAAGAAAATAATAATAATAATAATCTAGTCCTTGTTTATTATTATTAACAAGGTGATTTTGCATGGAATATGTTACGTGATTGTAAGATACTTTGAATATTTTCTATGGGAGGATTGGACATTCCCTCTTTGACTATTGTGAATCAGTTGGTTTGCAGAGTGCTTATAAATGTCTTCAAAGTTCCCTGTGCCCTTTTCTAAGTCAGTATCTGTCTCCTTTGTGTTTTTGTTTTCAGGCCAGTGGAAAATATTTAGCGAGGGAGAAGCTCAGATCAGCCAAATGTGTGAAAGCAGAGTGTGCAGGACTGAGCTCGAGGATTTGGTAAAGGTTTTGTACCTTGAAAAGTCTGAAAAGGGTCACTGTTGAGGGAGACAGCACTGGAGGGAAAAACACAAGAAAACTTATGAAAACTTGGATCTGCAGCTGGACTGCAGGCTTATTTTGCTTAAGTCAACAGTTGCCCTAAAAACCAAAACTATAATGCAGTAATTATTCACATCATGCACAGCAAATTTGCTGCTTTATGTGTAGTGGTCTGTGCCAACCATTCAAATATCTCCTCCAAAAGACTAGGAGGCTCTGTATTACTGGTGGGGGAAGGAGAAAGAGAGACTGTGCTTTCCCAGAGTTGCATTTCTTTACAAGTTAAAAAGAGAAAACAGAACATTATTATTATCATTATTATTTGGCAAGTTATTCAAACTAATGAGAAGAAGGACACCTAATGAATGTGCAGGAGCTGTGGAGAGCATTATTTCCAGTGCTAAATTTATACCATTTCTGGTGTTGAAATCACTCATGGATTTCTCTTAGTAGTGGAGGAATAATACAAGTGATACAATACTTGTGCTGGAAACATAAAAAGCAGATTTAAACCAACAAACTCCTAAGCAGCCTGCCTTTGGGATGATGTCTTGTAGTTGAGCAAACAAAGTCCATAAACTGAGCAGCAGGTGTTAGTGGCAACCACGATATTTTTGTAGCAATTGGAGCAAATGTTTGCTTTTAAGTGGTTTTCACTGTTTTCCTCCACCCACTTCTCTAAAAATGTGAAGTGTTAGCTCCCTATCACAGCCCTAATAACTTCATTCTTCTGGGCCCTATTAACACATAGGGCCTGATAAACCACCTTCTAAAGTGACAGGGCAGAAGGTAGTAAAGCACATGCAGTGCTTTCAAAACACCTAGAGCGTTAAACTCACAATTAATAATTCCTCCAAAATTGTGACAGGGATTAATTTATTTGTTCTGATTTGTTACAAACCTAATCTTCTGCATTTTTCTGAGAATGACCTCTCACTTCTCACGCTTCAAGAACATCCCTCTCCCATGACAAACAGCAAACAGCTTCAGCAGGCCTTTAGAGCACAACAGCTCTGTGACAACTGTTGTGAAGAAAAACAAACCTGAGAGAGTCTGTTAAATTTAGTATAGCATGTCTACAGTGTGTCTACTTATTCTGCAGAATAAGTGTAAGTATAATTTAAAAACTGTTTTCTCTGAAGAGTCACCAAAATCCTGCCCTGCACCATGGCTTGGGATTAAATCCCAAAATGTGAGTGACTCTGCCTGCTTTTGCTCCCATTTTCTACTCCACAAGCAGACAGGAATACTGCTGTTCAAACACACACTAGGAAACAAAGCTTTATGGAATGGCCTGAGCCAAGGGCTGGGGCTTCACAGGGAGTAAAATCAACAGCGAGAGCAAAGATTTTGAGGTTTGTTATTCTGCCAGTGACAGCACTCCAGGGTGTCCCCATTCCCAAAGGGATGAAGGTGTGGCAGGGGTTGGTACTGGATGCCAAAGGCCTGTTCAGGCAGAGCTTCGCCATCCTGAGGGATCCTTGGCTCCAGCAGCAGGCCCTGGCAGCCCCATCAGCCCCAGAGGCCTCAGGACCAGC